GCCGCCATCTCGTACTGCACCACGTGGGCAACCTGCACAGCGCCGCAGAGCGGGGAGGAAGTGAGGGGGGTGCCGCCGCTCTCGCCCCCTTTCTCTCCCTCCCTCCCCCCCCCTCCCCTCTCGCACGGGCGGGCTCACGTCGGTGAAGTCGATCCCGCGCGAGGCGAGGCCGGTGCAGACGAGGACGGGCAGCTCCCCCTGCTGGAAGGCTGCGAGGTGCTCCCGCCGCTCCTCCGGACCCACGCCTGCTCGAGACGCGCGCACAGCCGGCCGGGCTCAGTGTGCCGATCCACATACCGCGCCGATTGCGCCGCGCGGGCGAGAGGCGGGGGCAGGGGCGGAGCGGAGGGAGGGAGGGAGAGGGGGGGGGGGGGGGTTGGCGGGCCGTTGTGGAAGGCGGCGCAAGTGCGGACGCCCTGCAGCTCCGCCTCGGCCGCCTCCGCCGGGGCGAGCGTGTTTGCGAACACCAGAGTGCGGCCCTGCGGCCCCTGCTGCACTGCGGCGCGGAGCGCGGCGGCGCGGCTCTCCTCGCCCACCTATCCCAGACGGCTCCGAGACGGCTCTCACGGCCTCCGAGGCACGGCCGGCGGCTTGCGCGGCGCTCGGTCTCGGCCCGCACACCCGCACGAAGAACTGACGCAAACAGGGGATATCCCGGCGACATCTCGGCGACATCTCGGCGACGTCGCGGCGATGTCTCGGCGACATCTCGGCGACATCCCGGCGACATCTCGGCGATGTCTCGGCGACATCTCGGCGATGTCTCGGCGCACCCGCACGAAGAACTGACGCAGCCGAGGGCCGATCGAGTGGTGCTCGCGGCCGGTGCGCACCCACGCCGCCGCCTGCAGGCAGGCTCCGAGGCGGTGCAAGGGGGAAGACGCTCCGAACAACGACGGGCGCTCCGCCTCCCGCTCGCTCACCGGCCAGCTCCGCTCGACGTGCAGGTGGACGTTCTTCGTGCCAGCGTTCGGCATGGTGGCGCCCACCAGCACAAACTGCTTGAGGCCCGCCCACCTACAGACCAACGCCCAGAGACGCGCCTCCGAGCCGGACACTGCGTGCGGCGCGGGGCCGCCCGACGCCCGCACGTCTTTGCGCGAGCCATGCGTACCGCCTCCCTCGCCGCCTGCCGCACATTCTTTCATCCATAGTGCTCACTTCACAATGAGAGCCACGCGTGCCGAGTCCCTCACCGCCTGCCGCTCCGCGTCGCTGCCGACGCGGTGCAATCCGATGCGAGCGCGTGCGAGGTCCCTCCCCGCCATCGAGCCCTCCTCGGCCGCCGACGCCTTGGCCGCCCGCTTGAGCTCGGCGCAGATCTGCTCCACCTCGTACCGGTCTCGGATCGCCTACAAGGGAGGCTGGCCACGCGCCGTCCGGCAAGGACGGCAAAGAGCCGCCGCCGCGCGACCCGGCTCGCGGCTCGCCGGCTTGAAGGAGCCCGCGAGGAGCTGGTCGGCCTCGTCGAGCACAGCCCACCTGCTCGCAGGCCGGAGCGCGTGAGCAGCGCCGCCGCACCCTCCCCGCCCTCCTACCACCTAGCCCTGAGCGAGGTTACCGCTGGCAGAGTGCCGCGCGGGGTGCCGGACCTGTCAGCGGAGCTCTGCAGGCTCAGGCTCCGCCCAGTCCACACGCGGGTGAGGGAGGCGCCCGTCGCGTCGTGAGTGACGCCGGGCGAGTGGTCCCGTCAGATGGTCGGAACTAATCCCGGCAGGTCACCCGGTCGAGGCGATCGCGGCGTGACTCAGGACCGCGGTTTGATTGATGATGTGTGACCGCGTTTGCGCAGCGCGTCCTGACAGAACACAGAAGCGTTGTTTGCATGTGCACATGTGCATGTGCATTGCAATACTCCCAGACGACGCACCCAGCGGATCGACCACACACAGAAAAGTGCTCCTTTTGTCGGGTTGCGAGCCTCTCTCAAAAAAGAGAAAAGTCGGGTG